CCTAACCCTAACCCTAACCCTAACCCTAACCCTAACCCTAACCCTAAACCTAACCCTAAAACAACCCCCTAAACCTAATCCTAACGCTTACCTTAATTGAAGTCAGCTTTCTGCCGCGGCGCCGTTTTAAAGTGCCCTTCTGTTGCTGTGCTGTTGTCGCGGCGGGGATGACGTGTGGTGATGACGGCGCGGCTTTAGCGCCACGATTTTATCACCGCGATTTTGACCAGCGCGGTTTTGTCGTGCCACGGGCTGCGCGCAGGGAGGAATATCTCCTCTCCTCTCTGCACGCATCCCACTGATTAAAGTGCCTTCTTTAGCCTGCATCAGAGCTCAGGCGGGATGCGGGTGAAAGAAAGGACTTTTCTTTCGCCTGCATCAGAGCTCGGGCAGGCGAAAGCAAGCACTTTAATCAGTGGGCTGCACGCAGGGAGGAATATCTCCTCCCTGCACGCATCCCACTGATTAAAGTGTCTTCTTTTTGCCCGCATCAGAGCTCGGGTGGGATGCAGGCGAAGGAAAGAACTTTTCTTTCGCCCGCATCAGAGCTTGCCCACCCGAAAAATTGGGACTTTTTAAAAACGCCCTGGGACATGGGACAAATTGTTATAAAGCATGACTGTCCCGCTGAAATCGGGACGTCTGGTCACCTTACTCTAGGTGTCCCTATTCCTAAGACTTGGCTAATGAATGCTCTAGGAATTATCTAATACAGATTCTATTTGCTCCAGGCCATCCAAACTCCTAATTTCTAGCTGAGCTATGCAAGATGTCTAACTTTTTATTATTTTTATCAGCTTGTCACAAGCTTTGCACGTCCATATTCCCTGTGAATAAGCATTCTTTGTTCTTGCCAGACAGACTCCACAATTACAGGCTTCCCAGTCTTCTTTCAAGTGTATGCCATAACCTTGCTTTGTTTTAGCAGACAACCATCAACTAAATGCTTAAAGTATTTTCTTTGGCTTGCATATTGAGAAGTATTGAGCAAGGGGAAGCCCTTGGCTCATAGGACTCTGGGAAGTTTGGTGTATAAAGAGAGGAAAACATTCCTGTATAAAGTTGATATACTAATTCAATTTAACTGTATCATTTTTCTATAGATGTACTTAATTTAATTCTCAGATTAAATCCCACCTTCCTTTCACGAACTTGACTGTGGGTTCATCTCATCTCTGCTCTTAAGGAACGACAAATTGGTTGTTGAGCTGCCTTGAAGATTCATTTGGAGAGATCAAAATGTATCACTGCGGAATGTTATATCTTGGGACATAATAAGTTCAGTTGCTAATCAGCAGCTGTTTACTAGGGTAGCAAACATATAGTTAAATAGGACTTAAACTTTCAGAGAGGGCCTTTTTGGCAACATTAAGTCTTTCACTTTCAGGTGGAAGTTAAGATTACAGTTGAAAAGTGCGTACAAGCATTCTCAGCCTATGAAGATGGAGTCACATTGCTCTTCATTCTGTTACGACAGAGAGTGCTATACTTTTCACCATAGAATCAGATGTTTAATGGAGGACACACTTTGGCTGATTGTTTCTTCGATTTATACACTGGATAAGTGGTGGGATTCAAGTAATTTAACAGCCAGTTCTCTGTCCTAATGATTTCTTCCAACAACCAGTTTGCCAACTAGCATGGAAGCTCAAGGGATCCTAGAAGAATTTTCTATCTTGATTTTAGCAACTTGCTCTTATGGAAACAGGATATGATAATCCAATATACTGTGAGCCAGTGGTGGGTTGCTCCCGATTTCGCCTGGTTCAGCTGAACCAGTAGTAGCGGTGGTGGGAGGCCCCATATGCGCGCAGGAGTGCGGCGAACCAGTAGTAAGAATATTTGCAACCCAACACTTTCCTTCGAATTGTAGAAGCTGCTACAATTAGAATGCATTGCTATCAGCACTGTTTATAAATCCGAGGGTTTACATAGGATAGGTTGGTGGAAGGCATCTTCTGAAAGCGGACTAGTTATGACTGCTTTTGTGCTTGAACATCCACAGTTCCAAGACAAACGATCAGTGTTCTGAATGTTCAAATATTTCTTCTCATTTTAGCAGTAAACATCCATCTGTCCCAAGAGCATTTGGAAGCATATTATGCTTTGTTGAAGTCTAATGATTTGGAGGTTCAGCAGATTTCATCCTTATCCCTGCTCGGTTTTTTATTAGAAGGAAATGGTGAGTGGATAACCAAGAAATCTCTTTCTGAGAAATTTGAATGCTTAGAATGTGAGTTCTTTTCAGCTCTGCCCCTAAAGAACTACAAGTTGGTTTTTGAACTGCCCTGCAGATTCATTTGGAGAGGGAAATGCTTCAGTAGTGCAAAATCCAGTCTGATTATGGACTGGATTAAAGTATACATATTTACAAATTGATTTTATTTCATTTCATTTACATATCATTAAAATGAATATAGTAAAACTTCCAATCATGTTGAATAATTTACCTTGTCCTATTAAAATTATACTTCTATCACAGTTGCTTACGATTTGGGGACCATAAAACTCAAGATTGACAGGTGCACATATAGCCCTTGGCACTCCATTATTTTGCACCTGAAGTCTGTAGCTGATAATAAATTTGTTAGATTCTTGCACCAATGAAATGATTTATTTCTGAAAGTGGATTTTACTTCCTAGTCAAATGGAACATTTCTCTAATACTGAGTAAAAATTACACTAGCTTTTTGCTATCTTCAGTATTAGTTAAATACTAAACTTTGTATTTAAGGTTATTTACTATTAAATATATTTAGCATTTAATCTATAATAATGTTTAAGATTATTTACTACTATCTTTGTTTACAAGCAGTAACTAAGGAGCATGTCATAGAAATGGATTTACTTGAGCCAATCCTAGAGCTACTTGAATCGGATGATATCACAGTCCAGGGTAATTCCTGTGCCTGCTTAATGATGCTGGCTGACTCAGGTGAGCAGGGTTCCCAAAGGTCAGGCTTATGGTAATGGTTAAGGTCAGCAACAATTCCACTGCCTGTAGTAATTTCCTGTACTTTTTGAGCTCTAATTTACATCCATTTGAATCTCCCCTAGTTTTATCCTACAAAAACAACTCTATAAAAGAGAAGATGGGCTGAAAACAGTGACTGCCACAAAGCCCCCCAGTATGGTGAATGAGTGAAGGATCAAAATTAGCTCTCTCTAGCCCAAGTTCAGCACCATAATTATTATACTGCACTGATTACAGCTATGAATACTTTTTTTTTCCACACTTACACCCCCCATCCCATTTGTTTGAAGAACTGTTGAATTATGCAGATGTGTACATTTGTATTATATGGATAGGAATGTTATTTGCTTCGTTTATCTTTAATTTATCTTGGACTGCAAAGCAAGATATATAGAGAGTTTCAAAAGTGGGCAACAGGTGGCCATTATGATGAGGTAGCCATGGGCCCTCAAGATTCTCTGGAGTATTCTTTCTGCCTCCCAGATAGGCACTGCAATAAATTCCCAGCCATTTTATTACAACAGTTGCTATAAAATCTGTTCTACATAATCACTGCCCAAAGAAATGTCACTGTGTCACATGGCTAGAGTCTTCAGCGTATCAAAAGAAAGAAGATGGCAGCCTCAAAACATCTTTCCGCTTTCAAGGCTTGGGTACTCAAACCCAAGTTAGCCTAACTTTTTATTTCATTTTCGGCTAACTGGTATTTGAAAGAAGCTTTCAACCAGGCAGCCAAACTGTCTTCTCCTTGCTGTTTGCTCATTCTGTTGCCATACCCTGTTCCAGAGGGCTCTGCAACTGTTCTCCTCCAGTGTGGCACTTCAGAATACATACAGTATTTAATATGCTTTGCTTGATTAAAATGTCTCGACAGTTATTATCCTAAGGCAACTTGTAGCAATAGTTCTCATTGCAGGCTTACAACTATATTCATAGCACACAAAACCATAGCTTGAGAGTTGAAGATTAGGCCCAATGTTAAGTCTCTAATCTTGAATGATTGCTTCCAAGCTCAACACAGCCAAGCCTCCCTTAATGTTGTGGCCTGCCAGTAGTCAGCAGAACTGGCAGCAGATTCGGACAGTGACAAGGTTTGGGAGGAAAATGGGCCAGTCCTGGAGTCTGGGGAAGGCTTTGATGAAGGCCCTGTATCGGAGGCAGAGAGGAGGCCAGAGTACATATGCCAGTTATCAGCTATCTTCAGAGTCAGACATCAGTGAGGCAGATAAACAGCTGGAGCCTGTTCACAGTGTGCACATGCGCAGAATTGCCAGATGAAGGGAACAGGGGTCGACTTGGGAGTAAGGCCACAGGTGGATGATAAATGGCTCTCCCAGANGCTGCCTCTCCGGTGGCTGGGAAATGTCAGACAGCCCTGGTTCTATCTCTGTGTCTGATGCAGAGCATTCATCAGAGCCTTCCCCAGACTCCAGAACTGGCCCAAGTTCCTCCTCAATCTCACTGTCAGAGTCTGCTGCCAGCTCTGCTGGCAGCTAGCGGGCCAAAACACAAGTAGTCAAAAATTAGTTTTACTGGCCAGTTGTTACACAATATATATTGAACAATCAAGGATTTCTTATTCTTAATTATGTGTCAGGCACGAACAACCAGACCCACACAAGAGGAGTTCAAGATAACTACTCTATTGTATTATGCCTACAATACAGGTATCTTCTCAGATTACTTGCCTTCTCTTGGGAACAGATAGACAAGGTTCCATGGAGGTTAGGGATGGATCTCTTGCAGCTGGGCAATAATTCATGGCTAATCTCCCTGCTTGAGTCCTCATCCCTGCCTGGCTAGGCGTTTCCCAACACTATGCAACAGAATCACTTTATTTTTCTAATTACACTATACCGTGTAATTACATTAAACAGTTGCATTGAAATGAAGGAAACACAGGAAAAGATTGGGAATGGATTTTTATGTCAAAGACACATAGGTGCAATTCTTGTTTTGAAATAAACCATGAAATTAGATTATCTTCTTTCTTTCTTTAGAGTGAATGTATGTACACTATGGTCCCGTGCTTTCTTCTTCTAGTGACTCTTATTGGGAAGAAGGAAAACAGCTGAGCATCTTTTTGTGATGTACCACAGAGTACAATTTAGAATGTCATTTTAATAACCTTGTATATCTTGTATTTATATAGCATAAATCTACAGAAATGTACATATCTATCTATGAATGCACAAGCAAAAGAATGGGAAGAAGATGGAATGGGAAGCAGCCTAATTGGGGAAGACAGATTTCACATAAGGTAGCAAGGAGCCTCTTTACATTTGTCTAACAGTTGATGAAGCAGAAAACATGGTCTCATAAAGTTCAGCTCAGCAAAATTGTGTTGTTGCAGTGGCTCAGTGGCTAAGACGCTGAGTTTGTTGATCAGAAAGGTCAGCAGTTCAGCAGTTTGAATCCCTAGGACCGCGTAACAGAGTGAGCTCCCGTTACATGTCCCAGCTTCTGCCAACCTAGCAGTTCAAAATCATGTAAAAATGTAAAGAAAAATAGGAACCATTTTTGGTGGGAAGGTAACAACATTCTGTGCACCTTCGGCATTTAGTCATGCCGGCCATATGACCACGGAAACGTCTTCAGATAGC